GCCCCGCGTCGGGCTCTGTGCTGACTGCCAGCTCAGAGCCTGGAGCCTGTTTCAGAGTCTGTGACTCCCTCTCTCTCTGACCCTCCCCTGCTCACGCTGTCTCTCTCTCTCTCCTAGAAATAAATAAAACATTTAAAAAAAAAATGTGATACCTGAAAAGTAATGTGGATCCTTGACATTCTGATAGTCTGAGGACCCTTTTCAGGGAGGTGTATCTAAATCCTTTCAAATAAGTTTACAAAATACTTTTGCCTGGTCTATACCCCTGGAATAGAGGTTTTACACTTTACTGTATATTATTATCACCTGTGGAGCTTTGAAGAATCCCAGTGCCTATTCCATCTGCCAGACCCCTTATTAAATCAGAATTGGCAGAGGCATGGTCCCAGATAACAGTACAAGGCCCGAGACAGAGCTCAAAATGATGTCTTAGAAATGTTAAAGATTCATGTAACTATACAATGATTCACATAAAACCATGGTTGAGAGCCAGTGTTAGTTTTTGAGACCACAGCTCAATGCTCCTTATCAGCTAGTTGAAGAAACATGGTTCTAGAAAATTCTTTTCCTTGCCATCCTAACATGTAGCTATATTTTTGAGATTTGGGGTCAAAGCGAGATCTTCCATACTATCAAGTAATGCTGAGGAAATCTTTCCAGTTAGACATAAACCTACCAGTCACTACTGCTCTGAAAAAGTTAGAGGAGTTCTAATCTGTGGGAAGGGAAAGTAATTTGGACTTCCAAACCTTTAGTAAGCAAGTTTTGGCAAAGCAATCTCTTTTTCATTTTCAACTAGAATTGTGATTTCTATGGTTCATATGGTTTTTAACTCATCTGCAGAGAGATTGCCTCAGCATCAACTGGGAAACTTGTTAACCATGTGGTTTCCTAGACATCATTCTAAGAGAATTGGATCGAGTAAGTTTTGGGGCAAACTCAGGAGTCAGTGTATTTACAAAACACCAGATGATTCTGATGCACTCACAGTCACTGTAACCTCTAACCTATTCAGGGGGTTCAGGAATTCTGATTGCATCCACAGGAACTTGATAAAACATTTCAGGAATTCTGATTGCATCAGATACCCAGAGACACAAGTAGGAAAGATCCAGGTTTCACATTCATGACATTCACAAAAATCACAGAGATTTAAAAATGAAATAACTTTGCCATCCCATAGTTGAAGAAAAAGGACATAGTGCTTACGTGTTATATAAATTTGTTCTCATCAAACCTTTTGACCGGATTAGTTACATCCTCATATTTGTAAATCCATTCACAGTATCCTTTCCTGTAGGCTTTCAGCAGTAGGCATGGCAGAAAGAAAACAGTCTGGTGAATCTGTTGATATGTGTTTATCCCCCTTCAGAAAAGTCCTGTGATATTTGCCAGGTTGACGAATGTCACTCTTAGTTCAGTATATTCTGTATGGTAGAATAGATTTGAAAAACATGTTGTAGACAGACATTTCTGTTTCTTAGAGAAATTGCTACCCAACACATGTGACCTCACTAGTCAGAGTTTTCTACAGTCATGCTAAGTGTCAGAGTTTAAGGCAGTGATTCTTAATATTTTGAATCAAGGATCTCTGAGAGTCTGAGAGACTTAGAGCTCTCTTACCCAGATATTTGAACATATTTAAATGAAGTCAGGGTTTCTATATATTTTTAGAGACTCTATTAACATCCCACAGCTCCTTACAGCCACATTGCAGCTTAAAAAGTCCTGGTATAAGATATGTGGTATCTATATGAATTTAGAATTTAATAGGATTTTTTTTGTTTGTTTTTGTTTTTCAGGTATCTGTACAAGAATGAAATTCATGCCCTAGATAAGCAAACCTTTAAAGGACTCAGATCCTTAGAACAGCTGTAAGTAATAAAAACTTCTTTATTGAATCATTGATGGTTACGGTTCAAATGGAAGTTTTTTTAATGCCATTATGTGATAGTTGAGCAATTATTTTAAGCTTTGTCATGAAGCTTGAATGATTGAATATTCTGTCATTAGTTGGATAGAAATCAGAAATGTGTAATGGAGTTGGAGTGAGGGCAGGAAGACAGAGCTCAGCTGGGATCCTAGCCCCTGTGTGTAGTGGTGTGCTCTTGGGTGACTTGCCTTCCCTAGATCTCTGTTTCCATATCTCCGGAATAAAGATATTTCTGCTGTGAAGATGAAGATGTGCCATGCAGAGACTCTAGCTTATCATGTGATACAAAACAGGCATTTCATAGAAGGTAGCTGATGGTTGTGATTGTTATTAATTTATCAAACCCATAGACATTAAACTGATATGGGAATTCCCAGAGCATGACATCAACCCCTTATCTGACAAATTAATAACCAAATCCAATGTTAATTAAAAGACTTGCCTGAGGTGGGGCGCCTGGGTGGCTTAGTCGGTTAAGCGTCCGACTTTCGCTTAGGTCATGATCTCGCGGTTCGTGGGTTCGAGCCCCGCGTCGGGCTCTGTGCTGGCTGCCAGCTCAGAGCCTGGAGCCTGTTTCAGTCTGTGACTCCCTGTCTCTCTGACCCTTCCCTGATCATGCTGTCTCTCTCTCTCCTAGAAATAAATAAAAAAACATTAAAAAAATTAAAAAAAAAAAAAAAAAAAAAAGACTTGCCTGAGGTGAAAAGATCTGCAACCCAGATCTCCTGATGGCTATCCTAGTACCCTTTTCCCTTCTGACACACCCTATTGCTGGTTGCAAACAAAGTTTGGAATCTCATAAACTGTAGGCTCACTTTTCAGAATTACAGTGTGAAATAGGGATTTTCAGTATGAAGAATTCATGATATATAGTTACACTGCTACTGAATGGCAATTTGATATTTTATTCAGATATTTTTCTCAATTATTAGTGCCCGTGATGCAAATACTAATTTGATATTTCAAGTGGTTTTGCCTCATTCATGACAAGCTATGTGATATCTTGTCAGTTTAGAGATATAGAATACTCTTTGATTTTTAATTAATAGGACTCTTAAATACCAGCTTTATTCTCAGCTTTATTTCTGTCTTCAATGTGGCTTCTGGTTTTCAAAAGGCTGTTTGCAATCATTTCTGTAATAAACATACTTCTGTAACGGTCCAAAAAAATCTAGATTTCTTTCTTTCTAGAGGGCCAAAGTGTTTGGTTATAGTACTAAAATATGATCAAATACATTTTTAAAAATTATTATTTTCATCTACTTCTCTCCTTGTTAATTTTCTTTGATGTGACTAATGATCTATTCTGTGACAAAATGTTTCTTCATCTTTTTCTTTATTATTTTAAATTGTGTAATGTTTTAGGAAACTTTTACTATATTGTAGAACCATCATAAAAACAAGTAAGTATAAATTCTTTAACAACAACAATAAATCTTTATGACTGTGTTGTGTTTTCCATGAAATATATTTACAAATGATTTATGAAAATTAACATATGAAAAGTTCCAATTCTAGTTTAAAGTGCACATAATTCTCATCAGTAAATGCTTTATATTCTGATAATAATAATTGGTCGTACTAACATTGAGTAATACTATTGTTTAAAGCCATGGAAACAGGCATTTCTGCTGGCTAATTTTAAAGCATGAGTCCATGCTCTTGTGAATCACGATTCAAAGAAGATTTTTGGAACCCAAAGATGTAATCTCTAATCTTTGGAAATGTTCATGATTTTAATCACAGCTCTGAAAGCCAATTCATTTCAGTATCGCTATCAAACTAAACAAGAGCTTGAGATGCCTGAAATATTTTTTCTTTAAGATCTATAATAAATGGCCTTTCTTTTAAGGATTCTTATTGTACATAACCGGTTCATAACTGGTTTTGGATTAAGTTCCTTTTTGAGGAATGGAGGGGCACATGATAGGTATTTGTGTAGCCTTGCAAATATGGTAGGGCATTGTAATGCCAATCCAGCTACTGACATGATTGCTTACATTCAGTATCAAAATACACTTTTTGATTTTCCTGTAGCCTTCAAGACAGTCTGTGGTTTAAACAAATGGAAATGAGAAGTGAGGAAGGGATATTGAAGAAGGAATTATTAGCTTAGTTCTTTTTTTCTTTTTAAGTTTGTTTTCAGAGAAAGAGACAGAGAGAGCAAGAGAGGGAGGGGCAGAGAGAGAGGGAGAGAGAATCCCAAGCAGGCTCTGTGCTGTCAGTGTGGAGCTCCACTCAGCGCTCAAACCCACAAACTGTGAGATCATGACCTGAGTTGAAATCAAGAGTCGGATGCTTAGTTGACTGAGCCAACTAGGTGCCCCAGCCTAATTGTTTTTTTTGTTTTTTGATCTTTTGTTCGGTTAAAAATTTGATAAACTGCATTATTCTTAAAACCACTTCATTGAGGTATGATTGGCATACCTCAATGGCTGTGCATATTTAATGTAAACAACTTGATGAGTTTGGAGATAAGTATTCACCGATGAACCCATTGCCATAATCTATGTGATAGATATACCCATGACTTCCAAAATTTTCCTTTTATCTATCCCCTTAGTTGTTTTTGTTGTTGTTGTTATTCATTATTTGTGATAAGAACACTTAACATCTACCTTCTTAGCAAAATTTTAAGCATACAATACAGCATTAAGTCCTAAAACTATAACACTACAAGAAGAAATAATAGAGAACATCTTCTTGACATTGGCCTTCAATGATTTCCTGGATATGAAAGCAAAAGCACAGGCAACAACAGTAAAAATAGACAACTAGAGCTATATGAAACTAAAAAAATGTCGGTACAACAAAGGAAACCATCAACAAAATAAAAGGCAACTTACGAAATGGAAAAAACATTTGCAAACATATATCTAATAAATCCAAAATATATGGAGAACTCCTACCATTCAATAGCAAAAGCCCAAATAATCTGATTAAAAAATAGGCAAAGGACTTGAATAGATATTTTTCCAAAATAGATATATAATTGGCCAACAAGTACGTGAGAATGTGCTTAACATCACTAATCAGCAGAGAAATGCAAATTAAAACCACAATGTGAAGTCACCTCACACTTGTTAGGATGGCTATTATAAAATAAATAAATAAAATTGTAGGTAAGAATGGTTTAGAGGAAAGGGAATTCCGTATGCACTGTTGGTAGGAGTGTCAATTGACACAGCCGCTATGAAAACAGTATGGAAGTTCCTCAAAAAATTAAAAATAAAATTACCATGTAATTCACCAATTCCATCTCTGGGTATTTATTCCAAGAAATTGAAATCAGAATCTCAGAGGTACCTGCACTCCCATGCTCACTGTGTCATTATTCACAATAGCCAACGCACAGAAACAATCTAAATGTCCATTGCCAGATGAATGGGATAAGGAAAATGTGGTGTACATACAATGGAATATTATTCAAGCTTAAAAAAGAAAGAACTTCTGCCATTTGTGATAACATGGGTGAATCTGAAGGGGATTATGCTAAGTAAAATAAGCCTGACACAGAAGGACAAATGCTACATAATGCATTTATAAGAGAAATCTAAACAGTCAAACTCAAAAAATGCAGAGTAGAATAGTGGTTGCCAGGGAATGGGGGAGGGAGAAATGGGAAGATGTTAATCAAAGGGTATAAACTTTTAATTATGCAGGATCCTAGATACCTAGAGATCTTCTGTACAAAATAGTGACCAACCACATTCTGCTTTAAGGGTGAATTCTGTCTTTACATTGCATCAGATTATCTTCTATGTGTTGGCTACATGAAGAGAAATTCTGGGATTAAATGCAACAGAGTTTATAAATTAAAACACAAATCTTATTTTAAATATTAATAAGACATAGTTATTTTTATAAAGTAATTTGTATCTTTATATTGATTGTGTCAGGGGAGAAGATGGAGTAAGGAGTAATTATCTTTATAAGAATTATAATGAGTGAATTATTATGTAGGAAGATAGAATGATTACATATTAAGAAAGTATATATTAAAATGAATACATTTGTGAGGATACAATCAATTTTACCAAATGGAAAGACCATTTCCTTGGGTATAATTTTCCATTTTATGTATAGCCGAACACCACTGGTTAAGGGGGACAGTAGTTCCAAAGCACGTTCTTATTCTACAAATGACAGGACTCCAATGCTCCTTTCAAAACGAGAGTAATTACCATGTCCTTAGAAAGCACAATTTAATATTTCTTACATTATTATATTATTAATCAGCCATCTTACTTTCAATGAACTCTTCTTCATCTAAAAATTCTGTCTTTATTCCAATAATACAATGGGCGTATTTTCATTAATTAATTTTTTGCCAGTGAATTTCTCATCCTAGCCTCCTTAGGAGGTACCAGGTAGCTCTTGTGAAAATAGTATCTTCTAGTCATTTTCTTCATAAGACCACTGAACTAAAAGTGACACTATTTTAGTTAGTCATTGTTGTTTAACTTACCTTTCCTTTTCAATGTGTAACTTCATATTCCTTACTTTTCCTTTTCTTTAGATATTTACTTATTCCTAAATGGTCTATTTTATCTATGGCATTTGTATTAGATAACATCAGGCTTTCACACCTGTGTTATATTTTGCTCCATGACTTAAATATCAACATGGTGTTCCATTGTCTACTGAAATCATGGAAAGAGGCAGAACAGCGTTTCTGAGAACATAAGATTTTAGAAATCAGACTGAATTAAGTTTCGTCTGACTGAACATGTGCTGTACTTATTAACCTTTTATTGTTTTTTAAATAAGGAGACTAATAAGTACTTGCCAGGCTGACTCTGAGATCTAGGGATAATATATATGAAACACTGGGCAAGAGAAGGTCCTGAAATAATAATACCTGTTCATTTCTATAGTGGTATTTAAATTATTTTGTAATTATTATTTTAGTAATTATTTTCTGTACAACTTTTAAAAAGA